CAAAATTACTGTTGCGATGCCGATTGTGTTGTATTTGTGGACACGACGCATCTGCATGCAACGTGCGCAGCGCAGCCAGAAGAAATGACTTGCAGCACGGACGGCCGCCAAAAAACGGCGAGGGGCTGCCGGCCGCTTATGAAGGCGGAAGAAAGCAGCCCCATCCCTTCCTGTATGGCGTCGCACCGCACCGCCGATGCACCGCCCGATCTCTCAAATTGTCCGACGCAATCGTCGACAATGGCAATGGAGCTTATCCGCCAACGACGCTCGACTGTGGTACGAAGAATCACCGACATCTCCGCTTTGAGCCGGCCATATGGGGAGCGCGAACGAGTAGGCTTGAGAAATGTGTGCGCTGCCAAGGAAGGAGCAGAGAATGTCACTAGCGGGGCAATTTTCAACTTTTTGTGCTTTGCTGCACGCACGAACAGCCGATGAACGCGGAGAGCTGCGCGGCCTTTTTGGTGGCAATATTAGATGTGGCGCCATCGACCCGACAGCAGCACTCCAGGATGCTGCGGTCCATAGTGGAAATAAATTCAACCCCGCTGGACATGGTGATTCTGGGGTCACGAAGAATTGCGGCGCGATCCGAGACGAAGCAGGCGCGCCCCTTGACAGAGGAAGAGAGGGATGAATTTATCCGCGGCCGAGCCGATTGGAAGCAACGTGTTGTTTTTTGAAATGCGTGGATAACGACAAGCCGTTGTTCCGAGATTGCGTCCTTGACACCCAAAAAATTCCACAGTGGAGCCGGACGGGAACGTAATTTCTGATTGGTCCGTGGCGCCGAAGACGGCGAGGGCGGATCCCCACCGCGCCTCGCGGTTCGTCAGGATACGAGGGCAGGACGCCTTCGACACTATAAAGTTATGCAGGACACTTCAAGAAAACGAAAAGCTCACGAATATTACGACCACCGAAGTCGAACGAGCTTTGGCTCCTTGGGATGCCACGGCGCATTCCATAGAACGCGGTGCGTTGCGGCACGCGGCTCAAATCGTGGAGACACACAATTTGAACCCACACGTGATCTCGCGGTTGGCGAAGCACGTCGACCCGTTCGACCTTCCCCAGAACACAGTGCGATATTTGGGGAGGTACACCACACTGCTGACCCAGGTGTCGTCGCTGGTCGCATTGATGTGAAGGGAGAAACGGCGGAAGGGCAAGAACCCTGGCTGAGAGCAGCGGAGCGTTTTCTCCATGATTTTATCACAATCATGCTGCTACAATAGCGAGACGCGCGACAAGGACGCGTCTGGCCACTCCACAAGATGAACGAACCATCCCGTTACAGCGAGTCAACATGCCCGTATTGAATCTAGAATAGATCAAAAGTCGGTTGAACCCGGCGACCTTGGAGAGGCTCATGCAAGTTTGGGGACTCGTCGGGCGGTCCCCTTTCCCTCCGTCTTCCTCCGGTAAAGCGCGCGAAGGCTCACGGAGGATTCAAACCGCTGACGCGAGAGTGTTACGAAAAGCAGGAATTATCGAGGACGCTTCGTCCACAGTAACAGGCGGATGGATAATGCCCCTTTTCGGTTGTGGAGGAGAAAACCACCGGTTTACGACGACGACGGATTGCGTGGCCACGCGACAGGAACAGCGACGACCCTTACGAGGCTAATGCACCTCTTTTGCTCATTTCCCATTATTTGCCGCCTGTGATGGCTGAGGCCGCTTCCTGCCTGGATGTAAAGTCGTCCTTCATAGTCTCTTTGCCGCGGGAGACTCGGCATCTCTTTCGATGCCGCGTGGAGGACGGCACGCTGGTGGAGCTGACACGACTTTCAATGGGATACAAGGCCAGCCCAGAAATTCTCCAGATTATTATTACCTCGGCAATTGCGGTGGTGACGACGGTGGCTCACCCCCTCTGGGCTGCACCTCCATTGGTGCGTGTCGACGTATGGACCGATAATATGCGCATTGCAGGGCCGAAAAGCGACGCGGCATTGTGGGAAGCCAAGTGCTTCTTAATGCGGACGGCTGTCACGCCACGATGGGGAGGATCGCGAATCGGGCGCTGCGCAGTACACCTTTCTGGGGGTGCAGTTTGGTCATGTTCACCAGACGGTGTCACTGAGTGAGAAGTTTTTCCGGTCTGTATGCGCCATGCCGACGCTCAATTCTTTAACCATCGCGGAAATGGAGGTTATATCGTCACGTTTTTTGTATGCGACGGCCATTTTGGGCAGGCGCCTGTGTGCCTACTAATTTCTCATCACGGCAGCGCGACGGCGATGATTGGCACTTAACCGGGGGAGTTGTTCTGGAGACATCCCCGGCGAACCTACCGCCGTCAGCGGTTGGTTTGGGCGAGAGATTACGACACACCATCGAGAACAATCGTAAGCGAATCATCAAGCCCACGGAAAAGGCATCGGCCGCCATCATCACGGACGCATCGCTCCATGGATGGGGAGCCGTTTTTATTCCAGACTCCGGCGACGTTAAAATTGCCGGAGGGAAATGGGAGAGGAAGCCTTTTCTTATCATGCAGGCCGAGGCGCGCGTGGTACACCTAGTCTTGTCGGCTTTTTCCGCCATCTTGCCATCCACCATGGACGTTGGGGCGCACAGCACTTCGCTGCAAAGAGCGGCGAATAAAGGCAGCTCAAAATAGCACGCGTTGACGTGGGAGCTGAAACGGATACAAGGGCTTTTGGACTCTCGCGGAGCACAGAAAACCTTTGTCTACGTACGGTCTGCGGAAACCCCCGCAGACGGCATATCACGCGGTTGTGTTTTTAGAATTCAGCACTTGCGAAGGGGAGCGGCGGGGTCTTGTGGTTGGAGGACCCCAAAGTCTGCCACTTCGTAAGTAATAAGATGTAAATCCTAATTGAGAAAGAAGGACCATGCTAGTGGTCCACAGAATTCTATATATTGAATGAAAAGAAAACATTGAAGCAATTAACTAACGAAACTTTTTTAACTTGTTTGGTTTCCATAGATAATTTCAGGATCCGGCCAGCTGCCCGGAAGATTATTCTGTGTTATTAGACCTTGGGGTGTAGTTGTTGTCTTTGTTTTTGTTTTTTAATTTGCGTGCATCATCCCTTCGCTCCCAGAGTGTGGGGCAGTGCCCCGTTGCCCCATTCTTGTTTTACAACAATATATTGACCGGCCACTGTCCAGCCTGCACACACTCTGCGCATGGCACTGCGACGGTGGTGGGCAAATAAAAATGTTACTTGTTACGAATTTGTTTGATTGTTTTGACACCCACACCCGTCGACGGATTTTGTTTGCTGGTTGCGTTGGTGCTTCTTTTTCTCTGTGCTGCTGAGCTCTGCTGCCAGTGGCGACTGCTGCCCGCACACACCTCTCCACTTTCCCCCAGCACGTAACTGTCCGTAGAACAAGGCCACCGAAGCAGTAAGGATGTCAGCAGCGTGGGGCGCACGACCAGCGGGCTGTGGTGCCGTCACTGCCGGTATGCCTGCGGCCGCGACTGCCCCGGCGTCCCTCTGGCCGCCCGACGGTCGACGGCGGAACAGGAATTGTGTCTTTTGAGGTCGTCGGCTACGAGACGGGTAACACCGCGGCGCGGAGTGTGGACTGGCGGGCGGTCAGACGCAAGAAGGAACGCCTCGCGGAAGTATTTGCTGAGCTCGTCGTTGTTGGCTGGTACGGTGTAGGAAGAACGAGAGAGGACGCGGTGCAATGCAGCAGCATCATGCACGTTCCTCTTTTGGACGTCTTTGGTGACGTGCCGAACGGTGTGATGCTGGCGCTGATGGTGGACCGCGCCCCGCCGGCGTCGCTCGCCGCCCTCCCGGTGCATCTATTCGAGGCAACCACCTCGCGCGACGGCGTCCGACACACGGCTGGGGAGGAACAACGGGGGCAGGAGGCCATTCAACGGCGCCGCAGTCATAATTATAACCTCGAAATATCGCCCTGCACCGCTGCCCACGGCAGCCGGATTTTTTGCCACAACGAAGGCGCACCGCGTACGACGGTGTGCCTAAGAAATGTGCGGTTTCTCACGGGGTCTGACGAAATGGCGCAAATAGGAATTGGCGCAGCCATGAGCACCATCGGCCCAGGCAACCGGAGCGGTGGCCACGAGGGTGGAACTGTGTCGTCACACCCTCAGCGCGTGAAGCGGTCCCTGCTTCTGCTGAAGCGGCGCGTTGTGCTGGTATTGGAGCATCTGAGGGCCATTGAGTCCGGGTGTGTTGCGTGTCCGGCCCCCGATGTCCTGCGCCACGTAGCGAAGGCGTGTGCGATGCTACCTGTCAGCATCCACGACGCCTCCCTGTGCCCAGTCGCCGTTGTCATTATCCCCACCACCGCGGCCGACGAAGAGGTGTGTGGGGCGTTGGCCATCACACTTCTCTCGCTTGGGACAAAATGCGCACTGGCCTTGTGCGAGCTCGTCAGAGCTCAGGAGGAAGGTCCCGCGGTGGGAAGGCTCCCCGGCTGCGCGGGGCCGACAGAACTTGGCGTGAGTGGCCGACGGCAATGCTGACGCAACCCGTCATTTCCGTCGACAAGGGCAGTGCGGCGTTGGGCGTGCCCGTGCCCGTGAAGCGTGCTACGGCGGAGAGGAGTGAGGCCCTGGTGGGCCCGTCGAAACAGCTGCATCACCCTCACTGTCGGTACATCGCTTTCTCTCTTTCTTTTTCCTTTTGTCTCCTCCCTTGCCTCTTCCAGCAAACACTCCCTGATAGGCTAGCAAGCCAGATTCGCCAGCGTGAGTCCTGTGATGGCAACAGACGAGAGCGCACCCCCTCGTTTTATGTCGGCGGAGGAAACGGTGCCGGCGCGTTCCGTGCACATCGATGCGAGGGCGCTATTCAGCGCTCTGCCGTGCCTGCGCCGTGTACCTATTTTTGGCACCAGTGTGGAGGCCTTCGGACCAAAGTGCGTGCTGTCAATAGGATTGTCAGAGTTTCTCTGCAAGGGAGTCGCCGACTGCCTCATCCGTTGCTCATTGTTCCCCATGTTCAGGCGACGCTACGGTGTTGACGCCATGACGTACCAGCGCATGGCCAATTTGGCATCGATGGGCTGGTCGATGAAGCCGATCACCGCCATGTTCAGCGACATCTTCAGCTTCTTTGGGTACACGAAGCGCTGGTACCTGGCCGTCTCGTGCGTGGTCGGTGCCGCCTTTGCGCTTGCCTTCGCGCTACTGCCACCCGCGAAAGCCAGCGCGGCGCCGGCAGCGGTGTTTGTTTTCCTGACCAGCTTCACCAAGGCAAACGTGGACATCCTGACGCAGGGCCACTACAGCCGCCTTATACGCCGCATTCCTCTCGCTGGCTCGTCGCTGGTGAGCTGGGTGTGGTGGTGGGTGCTCCTGGGCTCCCTTGTCGCCTCTGTCATTGCCGGGCCCCTCGCCGACGCCAGTCTGGAGTGGATCGGCGTGATCGTTGCCGCCACGCTGCAGTTTGTGACGACGTTATTCTTCGTGATGAACTGCTACGGGGAGAACAAGAACCGTGTAAATCGTGCCGAGGATGCCAAATTCATGTGCACGAGCCTGCTGGAGGAAATGAACGATCCCAGCGCAGGGCTGCGAGAGATGGGCAACCACTCCATGCTGGGTCTCTCAAAAGAGGTGTACGCAGCTGTGCCTGGAGAGGAGGAGGACGAGGTACCGTCTCTGCCGACCTGCTGCTGCGGTGTCTTTGAGGTGAACAAGGAGGTGGCGCGACGCAACTGGAGGATAGTTCTCTACTGCCTCCTTGTGGCAGCGGGCTCGGTTGTCATGGCCTTCGCTACCCTTCTTGGCGACATCTGGAGCCTGCTGTACGCCTGCATTGTCGTTTCCGTCTTTCTTTGTGTCTTCGGCTTCTTTGCACTCCCGTTGGTGATCGCCAAGACGAATTTGTTTTTTTTTATCGGCATGGCGTCGTACATTCAGCTCCCCGGTGCCCTGGACAGCTTCTACATGGCCAGGCCTGATTGCCTGCCCGACGGACCGCACTTCTCGTTCTTCTTCTACAACACGGTCGCAAGCATCATTGGAAACATTGGTGGCATTGTCGGTATTCTGCTGTTCAGGTACGTGTTCTCGAAGAAGAGCTACCGCATCACATTTGTCGTCACCACGCTTGTGTTGATTGTGGCCAGTATCTTTGACCTCATCATTGTGGAGCGGTGGAACCGTCCGCATATCAGCGATCACGTGGTGTATGTGCTCGGTGACCAGATCGTCTACCAGGTGTGTTGCATGCTAAACTTCATGCCAGGCATGATCCTAATTTCTCGGCTGTGTCCGCGTGGAACGGAGAGCATGGTGTACGCGTTGCTAGCAGGGTTTTCGAACTTTGGGCAGGCAGTTTCGAACACCGTCGGCTCGCTGTTGATGGAATTTAAGTGGCCCGTCGAGACGGATCCCGCTGTCGGCTGCGACTTCAGCAACGTCAAGTGGCTCTTAATTGTGGGGCACCTCCTCTGTCCGCTCGTGTGCATCCCACTGGTGTTTCTGCTGATCCCGGCCGAACGTATCTGCGATAACATTGACGTGGATGGTCGTGTCGTCCGGCCACAGGAGCCATCCGGCGACTGTAAGGTTGAGGGAAGCAGGGAGTCATTGAGTGCTCAAGAGCCCGTGCTGAAGTGAGGGCGCACACGCCCCCGCCCTCCGTCCGTGACCCGGATGCCGTTGACGATGCGAGCTGCTTTTCGCCGGGTCGCACTTGGGGCCGCATGACCCTCATCATGCTCTAATCACATCCTCTCTTGTTGTTGTTGTTCCTCTCCCAATTGTGCTTTATTATAGGAGCCCGTGAAAATAATGTTAGTGTTGGGGCTGAATAATTAAACCAACACATCCTGATGAGGCGATTTTATTTCTGTACGATTGTTTTCTATATTTATTTTTCTATATTTATGACACTTTGGTCGACCAAGATTTAAGGAATCAAAAAAACGATAAAGGTAAGACGAAATTTTTTCCTTTTTTTTGTTGTTATCCTGTCTACCCTTTTTTATTCCCTTCCTCCTTGCAGTTTTTGTTTGTTTTGGCTGGTAGATTACAAAGTCTACCACCTTTTTAGTAATAAATGTTTGCAATCCGAATAGAGTGCAACATGTCACGATATTGGTCATTAGAATATATATATATTTATACTTAACTGGGGTAAAAACTGAGGAGGTGGCGGACCTACTCCCTTTTCTATTTACCCCTTAATTCCCTTCTTATTTCTTTGGATGTGTTCAGGATCCGACCAATGGCTCAGGTGAATATTCCATGTGCACGTGCGTGTCAGTATTCTTTTCTAAATTGCGTATAGAATTGACTGCTGTAACGTGTGATTGAAAAAAAAAGTAAAAAGTAAAAAACGAGAATGTCCGGGGGGATGCCTTATATATAGGGTGCAATCGGCCCTTTTGATATCGATTTGCTTACACCGTACTTTTCTTTATTATTGTTATTATTGCTCGTATTGTTTTTGTTGTTGTTGTTTCTTTTTGTTATTTTCAAAGTTTTGATGCGGTGTGCTCTGCCTTACTTTTTTTTTTTGGCTTGTAGGTTCTCGGCCTTGGCGGCAACGAGGAGGTGGAAAAGAAGGGGTGATGCAGGCGGTGGTGCACTACGGCGAACAGTTCGTGGAGGTCCCGGACGCGTCCGTCACACTGAGGGATATTTGTGGCTCATTTGGAATGACTGGCGACCTCGCAGGCGTCTGCATTAAACATCGGGCGACCGGGCGCGTGGTGGCAACGCTACCATTTGAGTGTCTGCCCGCTGCCAACGACGCACAGGGAGAGGAAGAGAAAATATACGACGTCTGCGCCCCATCGGAAGGTGGCGTGGAGGAATCCACCCCGACGACGGATGACATGACGGACATCTTGAGACAGTTGGTGCGGTTGGGTGCCACGTCACTCCTCTCAACAGAGTCGGAACAAAATTGCTCCCTAGACCCATACGATCCTCGTATGTCACCGGGATTACTGATGCGGACAATTTATCCGCCTTCTCTCTACTCGCCCTACCGACACCGCGGGGATCCACTCAATATGCAGGGAAGATTTGCCAATTCCCCCATTACGGGAAAGATGACGGGACCACCGTATGTGAGTGCCGTGGAGCCATACACTGTGGAAGCGCCAACGGAGCTGACGTTGCAGTTACGGCCTGATCTTGTCCCGCAGAGCGAAGAGGAAGCACGTGATATTCTTCAAGGGCTTGTGGCTGCGGCCACGCGGGTAAAGGCCATGGTGGCCATGGCCGATGAGGAGGAAAAACGGCATGCGCCATCAGACGTAAAGCCAAATGTGGCGCTCATGCAAATGAATTGAATACTTTTATCAACTTGTCGTAGTCTCTAGCTGTTTATGTGTTGAAAGAAAAGAACAACAGAAAATTCCCATTTCTATTGTTTTCTTTTTAATTGATGTTGTCTCAGGCCGCTTTTGCTTTGGACTTTTTTTCCCTGCTTGCCTTTTTTTTCCTTTTTTTTTTTTGTTTGGTTGGCCTTTTTAGCTGTCATTATTTTCTCTCCTGCATCGGTCCGTGTCTGGGCATTTTTTTCCCCCTGCCTGTGCATTTGGGCTCACGAGAGGGCGTGGGAACACTCGGGAAATGCATCGTTCCAAGCGGTTTCGCCCCGGGCTACGCCATCGCAGATGTTGGCGGTGCTCATGGACCTCGCTGCTCCTCACCCTTTTCTTTCTTGTGCTTAACAGCCTTGTTTGGCTGTATGGGTTTCGACGGATCCCATCTCTTACCCCGTTCCCTTTTCCCACCGACCGAGAGGAGCCTGCAGTTGTGGGGCCGGGGGCTAAAGAGCCCCGGCGCGCTGGTCACAATTCATCACAGGCACCAAATTTCGTCCTTTCTGGCTCTGATAATGAAAGACACGAAAACATCATTTTGCCAAAAGGTTTTGGTCATGAAATAGAATGCGTGACGAGCCAAAGGGAAAATTCGTCGCTGTTGTATGTTCGATTTACAGATCGGAAAAGAGTGTTGACACTTAAGGACATTATTAAGAAGGTGCATCACAATCTTAATAAAAATGATTCTAATAATCATTATCATGACGTAAATGTATCCATTTGCCCTCCTTTACCAGAAGACGTGAAAATCCCTATCAATGACTCTTTTGAGATTGGAATGATTCGTGAATTTGTGGGTGGTATGTATCATCCCCTCTACTGCAAGCAATGGAAACGGCATAATTCAAATCGTACGGAAAATGGAAATATTGAAAAGGATGAAGTTGGCGGGGAATATGCGGCGTCCATCTGTAGCGCAGAAACGCAGCACAAGTTGACTGAAGCAATCAACCATCCGCCCAAGTACGCGTATGTCATGATGGTCTCAAATCACCGTTATTTGGATGGTGCAATCGTATTAGCCGATTCAATCCGTGAACATTCCTTACTTAGTCGTAACCATGAAGCAGATATTGTTCTAATAATCAATGAGAATATCAAGAAGGAAATGTTTCCATTACTTCAGGTTGTTTTTGATCGCGTGCAGATTTTTCGTGGAATGCAAAAATGGGCACCGAAAAGCATTTTTAAGGCGACATTTGACAAAATGTATCTTTACATGCTAGAGGACTATACGGGCGGGATACTTTTCCTCGATGCAGACAGTCTCATTACGGATAACCCAGACTTTCTTCTACAAATGCAAGAAAAGATAGCCGCAATTGTGAAATCTGAAGATCCTGGCTATTGGACCGCAGCACGCCGTGCGGCGCTCTCTTACCCATTAAAAGAATCCGAGTGGAAGAGGTTAATGAGTACCCAGAAAATGCCTTTTCTATTTGCTGTTGGGGACGAGGAATACTTTCAAACCGGTTTGATGATTCTTAGACCCTCGTTGAACATGTTTCTTAAACTGTACTTGGAGTTTCGCCTCGGAAGTTACGGGTACAATCGTGTAGGGGCGCGTGATGGGGTTCTTTTCCGTACATGTTTCACTACCATTGGGGAGTTGGTGAGGCGTCCTCATGGGGTGTATCATTTTACCGGGACTCCCAAGCCGTGGTTTAACCTGGAGCGTCTCGATCATACCCTACGGCCCATTCAGGTCAAGATGCGAAAACAACTGCCACTGTCCTGGAAAGATTGCAAGCTTCGTTACGACTGGTGGACGCGGTATGAAAGACTTCACTTGGAGCATTTTCAGCGCATTGAGCTAGAAACACGTGCTTGCTGTGGTCCCGCGCAGGATGCAGAACTTATTAGGTGGCGGAACAAATATGGTGACAAAATAAGGCAGATTCCATCCGATCTTCACATAACAAAATACGGTGGGGCCATGTTGTTGCGAAAGCGCACGCGGGACCTACGACTCCCGCTGGGTATAAATTCATTGAAGGAGGCTATTCACGCTTCTCCAAAGTCTTACATGTGGCTTATGCGGTTTAGTAAGGATGTTGAATATCTTCATCCTGTACGAGAACATATGGCAAAGCTAAGGACATATGACGCTCCTCTGGCTTCTATGCATGAGTTGAACTCCCTTCTATCCGCTTTCAACTCTTTCTCCACCACGATGCACTATCCGAAAAGAATTGCATATGCATTTGCAGCCCATCCACACGGTAAAGAAGGGAACACGCAAGATGGGTTGTGGTCTGACTGTGATTTTCAATGTGCCAGATTGGGGTTGCGGTGTAATGCATCTTTGTTGATTGATACGCGAATTGCGGACTGCCAGTACAGTGAACCTCCAAGTAGCATGGCTAATGGTCTCATTCGTTGCAAGCGTTGCTTGTCTTACTACAAAGCTGGTGCCCCTTTTGTAATTTTTAAAAAAAATGAAAGGAATACCTTGTGGATACGGGAGGCTGAGGTTTGTTTTTTTAATGCATGGACACGCTTTGCAGTACCGAGTTGCAACGCGACCGAGCCACAAATTTATGAGTACGAATTGCAACATGGGGAGTTTTTGGCTCCCGTCTGTGCGTGCCAGTAGGGATTCCATTTATTTATTTATTTATTTTTTTATTGTGCGTGTGTGCGTGTGTGTATAACGGTACGCGACGCGGTTACACATGGCAGGAGACATCGAACTATCTTTTTTCTGTTGTATGCATTTTTACTTTTATAAATACGACCATCTAGGTTCCTTATTATTTCTTAAGACAGAGTTAAGAGAGTAACAAAAGGAGACAAAAAAAAAAAAATTGGGGAAAAAAAAATCCCTACACATGCTTATGAGGTTACTGTCTTGCAGAAGACCCCTAGGTTCCTTTATCGTCTATTGTATTTTTTTCTTTTTCCAATGTGTGTTTTTTGAAATCTTTTGGATTTTCTATTTCTTTTGCCGTTGTTATGTCTACCGGTTTTTACATGCTTTTTTTTTCTTGTCTCACTCTTTATGGATACATGAAGAAGAAGAAAAAAAAGAGGGTGAGTTTGCGCGTGCGTGTGTGTGGAGGAAACAAATGTTGACGGGATTAGGGACTTGGGAGTCCGCTGTGGACTCCGTGGAGGCGCAGGACCAGCAGCCGAAAAAAAAGCGCGGAGGCGGGTTTCAAAGCTTTGGACTGGACAAGCCGGTGCTTGACGGTGTGCTGCGACTTGGGTACAACGTACCGACGCCCATCCAGCGTAAAGCCATTCCACCGATGACTCAGGGAAGCGACGTGGTAGCCATGGCCCGCACGGGATCCGGAAAGACGGCGGCATTTCTCATTCCCATGTTGAACCTTTTGAAGTCGCACAGCAAGACGGTGGGTATTCGTGGACTGGTTCTCGCTCCAACGCGTGAACTGAGTTTGCAGATCCTACGCTTTGGTATTCAGTTGAACAAGTTTCTTGACCTCCGCTTTGCGGCGCTGGTCGGTGGAAACTCGCTTGAGCAACAGTTCGAGTTGCTCGGATCGAATCCTGACATTGTGGTCGCCACACCGGGTCGTTTACTTCACATCATGGAAGAGGCCTCCTTGAAGCTGAGCATGGTGAAATGTCTGGTGTTAGATGAGGCCGACCGCCTGTTTGAACTCGGACTGCAGCCGCAGATAGTCGCGGTTATGCAGAAGGTGCCAGATGCGTGTCAACGTGCACTTTTTTCAGCCACAATGCCAAGTGTATTGGCAGAATTTACTAGCGCAGGACTCCACAACCCTGTGGTCATTCGTTTGGATGCGGAAATGAAACTAAGCGATAAACTGAAGCAAAGTGCCTTCTTTGTCCGTAACGATGAGAAAGTGGCTGCTCTCATCGTGCTGCTTAAAAAGGTCATTGGAGTGGCGGCAGGTGACACGAACGATGGTACAGCCCAACAGGCTCTCATTTTTGTTGAGTCAAAGTTTCATGTGGATTATTTACAAATGATCATGGAAGCATATCTTATCTCTTGTAGCGCAGTACATGGTCAAATGGACCAGGAGGCGCGGCGTAATGCTGTGCAGGCGTTCTCAAGGCGTGAAACTCACGTTATGATTGTAACTGACGTTGCCGCGCGCGGTCTTGATCTTCCACTGCTGGACAACGTTGTGAACTTTTCATTCCCATCCACACCGAAGCTGTTTGTGCATCGCGTTGGCCGTGTGGCGCGCGCTGGCCGTTCGGGTGCGGCGTATTCATTCCTCACCTTTGAAGACTTTCCGTACTACGTCGACCTCATGGCGTTTATTGATCGTCCACTGCAGTGTCGACGAACCGAGGGTGACTTACTTTTCACGGCTGATGATGGCTGCTTTGGACGCATGCCGGAGGAAGACTTGCAGTTGGAGCTCGACTTCTTGCGTCGCCTCGCTCTGGAGGATGTGGAGGTGAGGAACATGGCGAAAGTCGTCGACAATGCTCACAAGAAGTTTACACGCACCAAGAAGAAGGCAACTCACGACGGCATTCAAGAGGCAAGGCAGGAGAAGTACCAGTTTGACAACACACCTCTGCATCCTATTTTTGTGGAGCGTCTGGAGGCGAAGCGCATTGCAGCCGATGAAGCGCGGTTTGATCTAAAGCGTTTCAAGGCGAAGGAATCCGTCCTTGAGATGATTCACGGCGAAAAGATGTTTCAAATCATGAAGCCTGTAACCATTCAAACCCTCTGGAAAGAGCAACGAGAGCAAGCGGAAGAAGACGACGCGGCAACGGGAAAAGGAGCAGCGGAAGAAGAGCCACAGAAGAGCGACCGTGCAAAGATTACGAAAAGAGATGTGACGGTGCCGGAAAAGAAGTTATCCCTGGGAGAAAAACTGCTTTTGAAGGCACAGGAGCGGAAAAAACGGGAACGACAAGAAATGGACGGTGCAACCAACGAGGAAGACGCTGTCACTGTGTGTCCCACGCGGGGTATGCACCGTTTTGAGTCGGAATACGGTGGAGGGAGCGGGAAGTATCGCGACCAGGATTATTTTATGGACACCACGAAGCGCAGCACTATGGAGGATGCGCACTATTCTGTGAAGGACGCAACTTTTGACGTGGGTGCTGAGAGTGCACAAGAGGCGCAACAACAACGCCAAGTGTACGCGTGGAGTAAGAAGAAGAATCGCTTTGTACGAATGAATGTCAATGACGCAAAGGCCATGTTACGCGGCGTAAAAAATGAGGCAGGGAAAGCAGTGAACTTTAAATCGAAGCTGGAGGCCTACTCACGGTGGATGAAGAAGAGCAATATGCGTATTCAAGACGTTGGGGAAGAAGAAGATCTTGGACCTCTCCATCGTGCCAGGGCCGCACAAGAGCAGGGCACCGGCGGCTATAACCATGACGGTGATGATGATGATGACACAGTAGACATCAGTGATCCAAATCAGGGGAAGAAACTTCGGGTTGGTCGCAAGCAACGTCGTCTGCCAAAGGACGGGCACATTCGAACCTTTGAGGAGATGGCGCACATCAAACGCAAGGCAGAAAAAGAGCGGGCCCGTCTGTCACGCAAGAAGCAAAAGCGAAAGAGCAAGTAGTCTCCGCAGGGGTGAAAAGAAATGAACCGAAACAAACAATCAAAAAAAAAGGAGTTAAGGTAATAAAAGGGGGTTTGTGCCAGTGTCTTGTTGTTGTTGTTGTTTTGACTGACCCGTTTTTTCTTGCTGTTGTTTTTGCTGTGAGATATCTATGAGGGGCTGGCCTGCGGGGATGTGCGAAGAAAAAACACAAGAGGGTGGCAAGCTGGAAGAAGTCTCTGGCAATTTAACAGATGGTGGTGTGCGGATAAAACGTATTTTTGACATGGTGTACGCATTATGAAGCAGACGGATGGCTGTCCGTGAATCGGTTAATCGTAAAATGAAGAGAGAACGGCGATAATCAAGAAGGAAGGGAAAGTGGCGAAGTGCCCATTAATTGCATAGTTGGGTGATTTGTATTTGCGTTTGTGTTTGTGTTTTCCTCAGTGAAATTCTCACTTACGCCTTCTCTCTCTGTTACTAACTCAGTTTAAAATGCGGATGCTCAAATCCCGGTGGTGTTATTGACTGTTGAGAGAGAGAGAGAGAGGCAGTTCCCTACACGAAGAAATATACGCATATTGCTGCTCTCTTTTTTGTCGGTGTTCCAAAATGTATTCTCTTATTTTGTTGTTATTGTTTTTTTCTTTTGCGTGCCTTTTTCCCGTGTGTTTTGGCTTTCCTTTTTATTTTGCATCATTTTGGTGTTGAAGGGACGGAGGGTAATTCATCTCCTCTGGGAAGATGCAAGGCGTCACGTACCCTCGTTTTGAGGAAAAACGGCAGCAAAAGCCGGTTGTTGGTAGCGTGCAGCTTCCACCAGTCAAAATGTCGAGGCAACCCCCAACGGAAGTGCAGAAACGACAGGGCATTTCCTCAAGTGACGTATCACCGTCGCCGAAAATGAAAAAAATTCACAGCGGCAATAAAAAAAGACGTAACACCGTTAGAAACGTCACTGGATCTGCGACTTCTGTAGAGACGGTTATGGAAATGAACAAAAAAGCCATGGCACTCATGAAAGATGGGAAAATGAAGGCAAGTTATGACGTGCTACAAACGGCTCTGACAGCTGCTGAGGCGGGAGTGCGCCGATTTCCGAGTCTTCCAATGGGGTCAAATTCAGAAAACCAGGAAAAACGTGATGCATGGCTTCTTGCGTTTGCAGCTACATTAAGCAACTTGGGATGTCTACAGCGTCGGGGCAATCAACCATACGAGGCTATACGTTATCTCCAGGACGCGCGCAATGTGGAATTGCAAGTCTTTGGAAGGCCGTCATGTTCCACAATGGTGAATCTTTCCGCAGTGCTGCTTGAATTGGGTTCAACGGAGGAGGCTTTCTTTATTGCCCGCGATTGTGCCTTGGCCTCAGAGGAAAGCGATCCAATGCTTCATATTATTGCGTTACACAACTACGGTGTGGCCCTGAGTCAGCATGATTCAGAAGAGATGCGACAATTGGCAGCACCCGTCCTTATGAAAGCACTGAGAGAGGCCGAAATTCATTTAGGCGAAGAGCATCCCACTACGATACTCATCCGCCAACACTGTGGCATGGATCTCAAAAAAACAACCGATGGGACCGATACATGCAGCTCCAATAATTCGGGTGCCATAACACAACTCCGTGAAACTCCTGAAAATTCCATCCAGCCACTGCCTCCAGGTGGTCGGCTGCCGCCTCTTGCCCCAGTTCCCGCTCATCTCATGAAGGCCAAAGAGGCCCTGCAGGTATTGAATTACGGAGGAATGCCGTCGATGGCGCAGAATTATGACTCTCCTGTTCCTGATAGCATAAAAGCACTAAACCGTCCTGAAAGCGCTTCCAATGATGGTGAGGCTTTATTATCCCCAACTGTGGCTCCAGTTCTGCGCGCAGTGGAAATAATGATAGCCACTTCCAAACGCAGATGCACTTCCAACGAACCTGCGGCTCCCTCGGTCGAGGAGGGCGTTGAAGCAACTTTGGCGAGGCAAGGATCCTCTCTGGTGGGTACACTGACTGCACCTTTGGTGCCATTGCAAGAACCACCGAATGAAGAAGAAGAAGAAGAAATGGACGAGAAAAAAGAATCGGAGGAGATGTGTGAAGATGATTATGGGAACAAAAGCAACACTTTGGGGGCCGCAGTAGAAACACTGGAGGAAGGGAGGGCGGAGTCTCTCATTGACTGTTGTGTGACGGACCCAGGGAAAGAAGGACAAGAAGATACTGGAGTCAATAAGGATGCCCCCGGTGGCGCTCTTTATGACGACGATGATGAGTCTCCAATGAGAACCGAAGAAAAACGCATCGACCCCGCGGCTGTTTCAAACACATTTGAAGAAACAAAACGTCCCGCAAAGAACACAATTTCTGGAGAGTATTTTCTCATTGGGGCCCAAGGAAACCGGTCAGAGCCGTCATTTTATCGTTTTGCGCCAACCGATGTCTCAGTGACGATGAACATGTATGGCGGTGAGCAGAATGTTGCAGCAATGAAGGCTCCCGAAACAACAATTGAAAAGGAAACCCCGCTTATAGATTTTGACTACGAAGAGGAGGAAGAAGAAGATGATTATGATTATGGTCATGGTTATCATGAGCTGCGTCCCTTTGAGCAAAAGAGGAGGCAGGAAGAGGAGAAAAAACGACTGGATACGGCTGAAAAGGTCATTGAAAAAAAGCGAGAGGTCTTCTTCAAAATAATTGGCGCTAATCCTACTTTACGTCGTCAGGCGCGCATTCAACAGGAACGTCTGGAGGAGGAGGTTCTTTGCGCTCGAATTCGTAAGGAGGCTGAAGAGAAAGCGAAAAAGGAATACTTTGAGCGCACTATTGAAGCCATTATCTTCCGCACAAGAGACAGAGCCGCGAGGAAGATTCAGACCACATGGTGCATGTGGTGGTACTCTGTGGGGAAAAGGCGACGAGAACTGCTTGTTAAGCGGGCCGAGGAGAAGGCGCGGCGGGAGCGTTCGCGTCAGGCTCTTTTTGAACATGAGCGGCGAGTAGAGCAGGAGCGACGGCGGAGAAAGAGTAATAAAGGAGGCTTTGAGGTCGGTACTATTCCGTCAGTAACGTCTTGTGGCAAAAAGTGGTTAGAAAAGACATTGTGTGTGCGGTATTTGGCACGGTGTGGTATTTCTCATAAAGATCAGAAAGAAGACTTTTTTGTGTCCAAAGTATCTAAAATCCAAGCCATTTGGAGGAGCTATCGCACCCGAGGGAAAATGCGAGAAGCAGCTTCTTATCGGGCACAGACATGGGTATTGAAACGACAAATGGAGCGTGAGGTCTACGCCGCAATGGTCATTCAGATGTTTGCCCGCCGTTGTTTTGCTCGCAGGGCAAGAGAGAAAAAATTCCTTGAACGATATCGTCCGCCAACAATAAAAATCCAAAGATGGTTTCGGTCTGTTATGCCTTGTCGACGTGCACTTGGTGTAGATCGGGTATCCAAGTGGCGAAGACAGTATTCTGCGAGATTGATTCAGCGAGCTTGGAGAGCGTACCTTTCTCGTCTTGCATACTTCATGGAGCGTCTTCGTTATAAATTAGATGAAGATAGAAGACATGAGCGTGTTGCCTCTTCCTTGTTGCAGCGCGTTGGTCGTGGATTTTTATTTAGGTCCTATGTAGCGAGACGATGGGCTAAATCTTCTAATCTTCGTAGGACTATGTACGCTCTTGAATGGGGAGAGAAGGGGATGGACGCAAATAAGGGTGGCATGCTCACTGTCGCCGCCCCAGTTGGAAATTATGTTCCTACACCCATTGAAGAGGTGAATGCCGTAGCGGAATTGGAGAGGGAGAAGTATCATATTGGCCTTTTTGTCGATGTCGTTGCAGAGCGTCACCGCGCTGAATGGAAGGAGGCCCTTCGCCTGCGTCCCTTTGAGGTGCTCCGACGTCGTGCCCATGAGGACCACCTCTGTGAACTCGAACTAAATGCATCCAGACGGGACCGAGCAGCGGTAAAAATCCAACGGGAATTCCGTCGGTGGCTGCGTATCCGTGACGCGCCATTCTCCGACAAAACGTTGCTACTCATCGCCCGTGGTAATTACCAGGTTTTGGAATACGGTCGAAAAATTGATTTTATGCGACATGCATGCGAACAGGACGCGGGAAGAGTTATTTTTGGTGAACAAGTCGCGCTCATGCGTGAGGCTAGAGCGGCGGCACAGGCAGAGTTACAAGCGGTTCGTCCATTGGTGAGGACTCAAGTCCCTCATCACGAGGTTCGAACGCGAGAAGAACGCTATGAAGTTGAAAAGGAGTTACAACGAGATGAGCATTTGCTGAAAAAACAATTACTTACAGACACCCTTCGTGAAAGGCGAGAATCTTTTATGAGACGGGCAGCGGAGGCAGGGATTGTAGGGTCAGCCATTGGCCGGACGAAAAAACAGCTTACCCAATAGATATAAATATGTCCGCGTCTACATCTTGAGGGTTTTCAGGACTTTCAGATTAATTTGAGGTGTGGGGGAGTTGCTCAACGAAAATGGTAAAGGTGCCCCTACAAGGAAAAGGGACGAGGGAAGCAAAAAAAAAAAAAAGAAACGGAACAAGGGGATGAGGGCGTGGGTGGGTCGGGGCATGTTTTCCCCATTGGCAGGGCATACCGTCTTCTAATTTGCTCCCGAACGCGTGGAGTAGGGGGTGACTGCTCCTGTGGTGTTTGGCTCCCTGAATTGTGAGATGGGGCTATGTGGAGGCGCAAGAGGCCTAAAAGAAAAAAGAAAAAAAAAAAGAGAGAGGGAGAGAGAGAGAGGAAAAGAGGGGTTGTAGAATAAACACACCTGGAGCAATGTACAGAATACAATGTTTTTTGATTTTACTGAATGAGTTTTTTTGGCGACGTTACTTTTTTTTTTTTTTTTGTCCGCTTGTTTTTTGTTTTTGTTGGATTTCTGATTCCGCTTGAGTGAGGATCATTAGTGTAATACTATGTATAAGATACATATGCGCATGTACACGTGTATACGCCTGTGTGTCTCCATGGAACGGTTTTAATGGCCTGCACCACAGTGGAATTTCTTTTCTCTCTCTTTCTCTGTGTGTGTCTCTTTCCGCCTCTTGCTTGGAGTGAGTTTTGCTGCTTTTCTCTCCTCTTTGCTGGTGTCGCTCATCATGTGACACTGGAAAGGTGGCTACAGTCTTTAGGAGGAAAACAAGTGGAACGGGGGAGGAACGAGGAAAAAGGGGAGGAAACAGAAACAAACCACACACGGAAGAACGGCGGGAGGAATACCCTTGTAGCGTCTTTTTTTTTTTTTTTTTTGCCTTTAATATTAATATAAACAGAATCATCTTTGAGCTAAATTTTTTTTCTTTTATTTTTCCTGTATTCTTGTGGTTTGAAATGATTCGGGATGCGGAGTTTTGGATGGAGGCGCGGCGCAAGCACAGCGGGGGAGATGCCATATTCACCGCCATGCTCCCGATGCTTCACGCCCGGCAGATTGTTCTTGACTCTGGTATAGAGGTAGATGAAAATGAAATTGGCCGTGAAGACTCCGCCATTTTTTCCTTCCCCAGCAAATTTGTCAGGAAGGAGCCATTTGAAGATAATAAAGTCATACATCTTCCAAAATCAAACGCTTCGGGTAAAAAGGTTTCCTCATTAGTCCTACGCGTCCTGCAGCAGATCATGATGTTTGCAGTTCCTCTCTATTCACTGCAGTACAACATTCCCGCCATGTCGATGAGTTGGCGAACGAGCTGCGTTGTGGATAGAACTACGAAACAACTTATAACATTTGGGGCTGGTGATGGCGTGAAGGTGCCAAAACAACTCCTTTGCCGAGGCTGTGTTGCCACCGATGAATTTTTTGCCATTTTGACTGATCAAGGAGAGGTGTGGGTGTCAGGTGGCTTAAGTGTCTTGTCATTGGAAAACGGAAAGTGGACGGCAGGGCCTCTTGGAAAGGCCGAAAGCTTGTCAACTGTTGCAGAGAAGGCACTTTTGATAGTGGGGCACGGAACACGTCTTGCATGTGTGACGCGGGCATTTGTTGTGCGGCCACTCTCCATTTTGTCAAACCCCGTGAAGTCTGTTATACCTTCTCGTCATGTACGTTTTTTGGATTTGGGATACGGGGAAGATTATTACATGGTTGGAATAGACTCTGTGCTTTACAAAACGCTTGCGTCTAAACGAACGCTTGGGACCCCACGTCGAGTTATGGCATTAAGTCGAACGCCGGTTTCTCGTGTGTCGTGTGGAATGGGGTTTTGTCTAATTATCGATCAAAACGGCCATTTGTACACGCTGGGAAGAAATAAAAAGGGCCAATTAGGTAATGGGCAACAGCAGAATGCACGTCGCAAGCCGTATCTTCAAAAGTCTCTTTGCCATCACTTCTTTGTGATGGTTGCAGCAGGGGATGCGCATTCGTTAGCCCTCACGAGTAGTGGAGTTGTTTATGCTGCAGGCAGCAACGAAAATGGTCAGCTGGGACTGGGAAAGTCCGTAGATACGATGTTGTATTTTACTCCAATTTCATTGCCAAGCAAATGTGTAGGAATCGCGGCGGGACCGGCGGGTAGTATGTTTGCATGTGAAGATGGTCGCGTATATGTTTGTGGCCTGAATGATCAAAAGCAGCTTGGCCTGGATACATCGGCTCGGATTGTTTATACCCCCTCTTTTATTCCGGTGATAGCGACAGGTGTGGAGGCGTACACGATGGATTTTGGTGCCTATCAGAAACCCCTCATCACGACAAGGAACTCCGTTCAATCTTCTTTTCAGCCGAATGATTCTTCAGCCGCCGTCACAAATCCGGAAGAGACTATTCCGCAGCTGATCCCGTCCGAATTACTGCAGACATCAGTGGTGAGCGATACAAATAGGCACAAACAATTTGAACAAACACCGTTGCCGAGGAAGGAAAAGAATGGGAAATGTGTAAAGTGTTGTGCAACCATGTAGGTTGAGGGTCTAGTGTTGTTGTTTATTTATTTATATTTTTTGTTTTCTTGTGTTTCCTTGCGGTGCCTTTTATTATTATTTCTTTCTGTTTGTGTCTCTGTGTATGTGCCATAGTTTGCTTAACCTTGTTGTGTTTGTGTGTTCACACCAACGGAAAGGAAAAAAAAAAAAAAAAAGAGAAAATAAAAACAATTTGTTGTTCGTGTTGTGGCGCATATCGCGTCAGCAACATCGTCAGCGCCTACGCATGCTGCATGTTTGTATTCTTTTGTGCTGTTTTTGAGATGTTGTTTCTCGCCTGTGCGGTGGCTTGAAATGTTTGCTGCTCTTTGTTCCATCCCTTTTTTGTTGTTGTCCTTGACGCGTCTCTTATACTTGCATGTATGCCAGGCGCTCCGTCCTCACTCACAGCGGCTGCTACCAAGAGGAAGTGGAGGGGCAACAACAAAAACAACATCATCATCATAAACAACAACAACAAAAACGACGACGGCAAAAGTTGAAAAAGAAAAACAAAAAGAAGAGGTTTTTTGCATTGACGTCATTTTTATTATTATTATTATTTTATTGCCCTTATATATTTTTTTTCTTTTGTTTTTCTATCCATTCACTTTTACTCGGACTGATATATTTCTTTTGACTTTGTCACAGTGCGGGGAACACACGCAAGGGAAAGAGAGGAAATGTATCGGCCAACAGGTGCCATGCGGCTGCCACGGCCATCCCGTTTTTTCTTCAGGGGACGGCGCAATACGCCGATGTACTACTCCGGTCGAGCAGGCGCCGAAGGTCATCCCGACACGCTGGCAGAATGCATTGGTGCTGGTCGCACAGACCCGGAATGGATGTGGCTGAAGCTTCTTTGCTTCTTCTGCGTGAGCTCAACGGTGGGAACGTGGATTTGGCAGACGTACTTTTATGAGCAGGCGAAGTTTTTCAAAGATGAGCCGTGGTCGCCATTTAAGAACTGAGAGTTGGGGGCTGGCGGAGGGAATGCGAATGTGGAGGAACCGCGAACATGCAAGAAGAAGAAAGAAATTGTTAGTCAAGAGGAGCAGAAAAGAAATAGTGGCTTTTTCTATTTATTTTGTGTGTCTATGAATGGCAGGAAGAGTTTTTTTATTTTTTATTTGTTTGCTGCTGTGGAGAAAAGAGTGACTTTTAACTTGCGAGTTTGTTCTGCACGCCCTTCATTTTTGGCTTGTTTTCCTCCGCACAGTTTAGGGACAAGTTAGGAGTTCAACGGAGCGACGAATGAGAGTGAAACGAAGGCGACATTTTCCTCCGCGTTTCCCTCCCTCTCTTCCGATTTGTTAAATTTACATTTGCGCCGGCACATGATGGGAATTGCTTTTGAAATTTGTTCATATTCGGAACTTACTCGGTCGACATGTTTAATCCACTGACTGCCGCCAGTGCCCCTTCCCTTCTCACTTCATTGCTCTCCTACAGAAGAAACGCTGCTCACTGCCGCTGGATTGCCAGGGAAACTTGGGGCATGACAGCAATGCCGCCCTCGTTGCCTCGTCCCATTGGATCCCCCTTTGGCCCAGTGTGTGTGTGTGTTGCATGCAGCTCGCCACGTTTCCTTTTGGGAAAAAGAATTTGATTGGTTTTGTTAATAAAAATGTTTGATGTTATTTTCAGGCTGTATACTGTGTGATGTTCTCCTTAAACTCTCTCATACCTCCTTTGTGTATTTCTTCTGCTTTCTTTTGACTGCCAAAAAAAAAAAAAAAAAAGCGAGGGAAGGGGAGGAGAGAATAAACAGAAAGGATAGTTTTTTTTAAATTATCATTTTTGGCTTAGTTTTTATTTATCGGCGAAAGCTGTCGTCACGGATATCGAAAAAGCGTGCATTGTACATATATATATAATATTATTATTATTGGTAGATCAATTGGCAACGTTTCTGTGCGTTTTTGGTTATTATTGTTGCTTTGGTGGTAGCCTTTTTTGTTGTCTCTTTGCTTATTGTGTGCACGTGAGAGGTGTTGCCATGCCGACGTATTATGAGCGGCTGGACAATTTGTTTGCGGTCTACGCTCCCGAGAAGCGGCCACTTGTTGCCGGCATTCTCCAGAAGTACAGCGGTCGAGAGGAGGAGGTGCTGCAGAGCCTCGTGAGAAAATTTGGGCCGGAGCCGAGTGAAGCTCTCAACCACACGAAAGGAGGTAATAGTTATCGTGAGCGCCTCGTTTGCTTTTACACCAAATACGCCCCAGGCAAGCTAGTAACCGTGGATGCAACGTTAGCCAGATGTGCAGGGCGTGAAGAGGAACTTTTTTCCGCTCTGGTTGAAAAATATGGACCAGAGCCGGCCATTTCTTGCGGTGATGAGGACTCGAGAAGTGTGGAGAAGATTTCTGACACGCAAAGTGACCTCAGCCGCACCACCTCCAGCATGAGTCTCGTGCCGTACAATGTACATGATTTCCGATGGCGTTTGGCGCGGATTCTTATGGAGCACGCTCCGGGGAAGTTGGCAATTTTGGATCAAATGATGGAGAAGTACGCCGGTCGCGAGGAGGAGATGCTTGCGGGATGTGTAGCGCGTTATGGCCCGGAACCGCTACCACCAGACATTCAATCACCGAGAAGCCGTCTGTTACGTTTTATTGAACACTACGTGCCACGCAAGGCCTCCTCCGTGGATGTGATGCTTAAAAAGTACGATGGACGCACCGAAGCTCTCTTTGCAGCCCTTGTGCATAAACTCGGCCCAGAACCACCGGCGCCTTCACCGGGTAATGAACTGAGTAAACCAACTTACCGACAACGACTCATTCGTTTCTACGAGTTTTATGCCAGGGAAAGACTTGCTGATGTGGATACCATTCTCCGACGATACAATGGGGATGAGGAGTCAATGTTCCGTATCCTTGTAGAAAGGTATGGACCAGAACCAGATCCCGCTTTCGATTCAGATGCACCCATCGAACCAGCTACAGACTATCACACACGACTCACGCGACTCTTTACAAAATATGCACCTGAGCGAGTCGATAGTGTTCCGTATCTTTTGGCGAAATACAAGGGCTCTGAATCTAATATTATTAAGGCTCTTATTAAAAAACTTGGGCCGGAGCCACCTTTTGATGCTTCCGGCACTCAATCTGCGATGGTTCATTTGGGCAATGTGAATGAGGGACCCGGTAACGGTGTTCCACCTGGCACAAGTGAGTTTCGAGATGATGACGGAAAGGAGGGCAGTGAAGTTCATAGCAAGGCGGAGAAACCAGAGGAGTGGTTGAGGCATCTCTCGTTGCCCCTGTCAGCGTATCGTCGGTATGCTGTTAATCGCTTAGGCGAAGCTCGTGTTAGTGCGTTAGAGATTCTTTTTGGTATTCCTTGTTTGTTATTTAACGAAAATGGTGGCGATGAGAAGGATGAAAAGCGCTGGGTTATTGTAAAGGCTGGGATGGCCTCGGGAAAAAAATTCGATGCCGCACAAGAGAGTGAGGAGCTTAAAGAGCCGATGATCGCAGAATGCATCAGTGCCAACTTTGCATGTCTTGTGTTGATCTTGGAAACTGTGAAATTTCCTCTGCCTGCGGTATACGATGAGGGGAAGGTGTTTTCTCTTTATCCCTTTTGCACTTTACTCGGTGATCGTGACCGGTTTACCCTGCGGATCTGTGCGGCAATTATGGACCTGCGAAAAAGAGTTGAAGCCGAAGTAGCCTCCCTTTTGCATGAGGAGGAGGTCTGTCGAGGACTTATTCAGCGGATGGATGGCTGGAAGCAACAACATATTATCCGTTTGAAAGCCAAGGAAGCGTATAAAGAGCGCCTTGTTCAGAAGTCAATTGAGCTTCTTCCCGAGTTTGAAGAGAAGGAACGACAGGATATCATTACGGTGGAACAAATTGAAATAAAAGGGAAGGCGTTTTGGTTTTATGAGGGTTTGCAAACTCCAATGAACACCTGCGAAGATCTGCAGGTTCCATACGGCAGGCAAAGGCTGGGAAATGAGAAGAAAATGAGTGTGGGAGGCAAACATGTGGGTTCACCTCCACCCCCTGCGGGTTGTCGTGGCTTTTCTCAGTTGATTTTTTCTCATCTTTTACGCGGCCAAAATCGTGAAAATTATGGGTTGAGGTCTTTGCAATCTTATAAAAGCTCTGCAGAAGACACGATGGATGTTTCTTTGGTGGGCGGGCAGAAAATGGGGTCGCCTGCCACCGTCACTACTCCTGTCTCATGGGGCCCGAAACACAGCACTCAAGAGGAAAATAGCCCATGCAACCTTTTGGAAGCCTCTCCTCCGCCAAGAAAACCTCGTGGTGCGGTGGAACCCACTGTACGTGTGCTTCGATTTAGCGGTGAGAGAATACGTGTGAATGGGCAGGTCACGCCCGCCGGGAATAAGGTGGATATCACAGGGCGTGACAAGTGGGGTCCATCTAAGGACGGACGAATTTCTCAAATTGCAGCCGTGCCGTGCCGTGACACACGCGAAGCCATTTTGTTGGGTGAAGATCCTGGCAAATTCTGCAAATCAGGCAACAACTGGTTGGTGTGACAGCTCTCTCTCTCTCTTTTTTTTTTTTTTTCTTTTTGAAAGACAAAACATTTTTTATTCCGCTTTGGAGAGCGTATATTGTTAGACTCTGCCCCATTCTTTTCAGATCTACTTCACCCTCGGGCCTTCTTTTTGCGTTTTATCGTTTTCTTTCTTTATGTATTTTTGTGTGATTATTGATTATTGACGATAAATTTTTAGGGGGAAACGGGTGCATCCCATGCTCTTTGTTTTTCCCGGGCTAGAGGCATTCTCTCACGCAACAGTCGTGCCCGTAGTGTAAACAAGGATTTATTTGTTGCCAGTTCTCTGCACGATGATGTCTGTTTTAATCTCATTTGCATTTGTGTTTTGTTGTATTGGGTCTTCTCCTCATTTGTGTGTTTTTGTGTATTTGTTCCTCCATATTTGCGGGGATATCATTGGCAATGTCCCGTGTGTCATCTTTTGTGTGAGTTCAGCCTCCCTCCTTCAGATAAACAGAGACGATGGCCGTTGCCCTTCCCAGACGAGTGCGGCGCACATCACAAAAAAGAGAAATAGAGGAATCCTGTTAACTTTTATTTCTTTGTTTTGCATGGAGACACATATCGTGTCTTCCTATCGAGCGTACTGGTGGAGTTTGTTGTTGTTGTTGTTGTTGTTGTTCCCATAAACCGTTTAAAACGGTAGATTTCTCCTTTTTTTTTTTTTTCCCCACCTTTTTTTCCTTTATTATTTTCACTTGCAAAGAAAACAAAAATGCGACGTTCAAATTTGCAGCTTTACATGACCGGCTTCGGTCCTTTCAAATCCATTACGGTGAATCCAAGCGCCATGATCGGAGAATCTGTTTCGAAGAAAATGATGGAAGACAGTGAACTTCAAGTGCATTATGAGAAACTTGAGGTCGGTCTAGAGGCGGTGTCTGCGTACTTTGGCGGCCTTGAAGGTGCTCTTGCAAAACACATGGAAGACAACCCTGACGGATGTGTTCTGCTTCTTCATATTGGGCTCCACAGTCGTGAGGAGGAGGGGAAAATGCGGTTGGAAGTGTGCGGCTACAACGAACTTGAGGGTTCTCCCATTGATGAATCAATTCCCATGGATGTGTGTTTGGAAAGCATGCTTGTCCACGATGGGTGTGACGAGTCGAAAGCAACAGCAGAACTCATAGAGGAACTTAATGCCGCGATATCAAAGAGGGGCCGTAGGGAAGGTGACCGCCAGCAGCCGCATTGGATTATATCCCATGACGCTGGACGGTATTACTGCAATTACACCCTGTATCGAAGCTTGAAGTTGCAAAAGAAATGGAGGGGACGTGTTTTTGCTGTTTTTGTTCATGTCGCCAACCCTTTCACATGCAATAACCCCAGTCTGGAGGAACAAACTGCGCAGGTTCTTTCACTCGTATCAGGGCTTGTGCGAATTGTGCGTAATAAAGATATAGTATAATAACGGCGAGAGTGTTTTTTTTCTCCTACGGATCCTTTTTTTTTTTTTTTTTTTTTTTTGTGTGTGTGTAAAGGCTTCGTGAATTGGGTCGTAGTTTTCACCGTCTTGATGGGTGCATGTTTGTGGGTGTGGGTGTCTCATCGATTGTTCCTGTTTGAAGATTCGCGGCCCATAATGTGAGGCTGCACGACTAGTTTTATATCTTTTTGTTTCCGGAGGGATGGATGGATGGGTGTATATGATCCCGGTGGTCTCTTTTGGCTTTTATGGATGGAGGATCTTTATTTATTTGTTTATTATTGTTTTAAACGAGTTGCTTTTGTGTTTAGTGTTTATTGCGAGCACTCATTTTATTTTCTCATGCCATTACTTGTATGGCTGATGTTGTTTTATGGTGCTGTTGTCACGATCACTGGTTGCTTCTTATGTTTTTGTTTGCAGTGCTCCTCCCATCATTGCCACCATCCCTACAAAAGCAAGAGGAGACACTTTCTTCTCCGGGCCTTGAGAGGAAGCGGAGGACGGAGGCACAAAAGCGCAGGAAGAAGAAAAAGAAAAAAGGGAAAATAACAACAACAACAACAACAGAAGAAGAAGGGAAATTTAAATAATTTGACGTAAAAGTGTGGATGTTTCGACCACCACCGTGGCTGCCATTTATTGAATATGTTCTTATGGCGTTAGAACATCCGCCAGATATGTTTGTATCAAGATTGGCTGCGTGTTGTACCATGCTTTTTTTAACCCGCTCGGATCCGGAGTTGCTGCGGAGCCTCTGTCACAAATGGGCAATCCGCTTCTCAAGGGATAGGGCCACGCTGGTGGCTCGGATACGGCGACGTGCACAGGAGTTTCAAAGCCCTCCTATCAAATCCCTCAGCTCCAATGATGGTTTCAGCAACCTTCCGCCTGGCCCCAAACTGTGCGACCCAGACGAGTGCGTGGAACACTTTCTCAGGCTTGTGAATACACTTGTACCAATGTACTTTTCTTGGAATTGGCATCGTACGGAGGATGTGATTAATATCAACAAGGAGTATGAGGTGTATGTTAGACAGAATATACTCCCCATGTGCATGTCGACAGATCCAGAGGAGGATGTGTCGGATGAGGATGAATCCTTTTCCATTTTTCCAGAACGTCTATCACCGTGCAGCAGTGAACATATTTTTGGCTTCACAACAAAAGCCCCCGGCGGTCAACCAGACGGTGAAACGAAAGGGGGTTCTTTGAATTTTCATAGGCTTACTTTCACAACCATTGGGAACATCTCAGAACGTCTGCAAAAATCGCCTAATGGTCTTGTACTTGTATTTCACGCGAGATTTTCTGCAAAGAGCTGCGAAGCTCTTCATATATTTGAGGATATTCTAAAAAAAGAGCTATTGGATCCCGTACCAACTGTTTCTGTTGTTCACGTTGTCGCGGAGCCGGAGCTTGCAAACATGTTTAACATATCATGGTTTCCAACCATCATCTACGTGCCACCCCTGGAAAGGGGCGATCCCAATCATTCATTGGGCAAGGAGGGGCGTCCTCCGTCAGAAAACAATTCTATGGAAATAATATCCAGCCTCTCCGTTCGGAGTGATAAAAGTACAAATAATAACGCGTTTCGCATGGCTGTATTACGTAATTCAGGGCCTTCAATATCCGAAGCTTTGTATGGTGTGCCTTCAGACCCGGGAAGTCCCTCTTCCACATTGCATGGATTTTGTACCAATGAGGAAGAAATTTCCACTATCATTGGGAAAGGAGACTACCGTTTTTACCCCGCAAATGCTGTTATAACCATTCCCGCGCTTGTGGAGTGGATCAACAACAAGGGATTGAGCCGGCCGCGCACGAAGGATGATGAGGATTGTGTGAGTCGTATTAAGGTTCTTCGTGAGGGTCAGAAATTTAGGAAATGCCGTGAAATGGTGTCAGCAATAGTGATGCTGCGTCAATTGCAATGTAGTTCAGTGGAACACTGCAGGTTGGTTGAAGGAGAAGCGCCGGTATTTATTTTTATGGGCGGTGGCATGGCAGCTGGCAAAAGTACTGCGGCGACGGCGTTGTCACGCAGTCTGTGGTGGGAAAAAAATAAAGCTGACATCGTGCTGGTGAACGCGGATGACTTTAAAGTTGCCATGACCCCGTGGTCCGAAGGTGCAAAGACGATGCACGAAAGCAGTACCCGTGCCGCGGAAAAACTTTTGGTGAGGGCGATCAATCAGGGTCGCAACATCGTCTTTGATAGCACCATGATGTGGCGTCCCTTCATTGAGCAAGTCATGAGCATGGTCCGCAATGCACACACGACCTTGTATCAACAAGGTGTTGGGTATAAGGAGAATGGAGCCATTGAGGAGTACTTCAAGCCTCTTGAGCCGCGATCCAGACCGTTGGCTAATCCCTATGAAGTCCGTTTTCTTGCCATTACAGTGGAACCAGAAATTGCCATCCCCCGTGGAATTCTTCGTTGGTTTTCAACAGGAAGGGGTGTACCCATTCCAATGCAACTGCGCTCGTTTCGTCTCTTCGCGGAGAATTTTGAACGTTACATTGAATTGGTGGACAGCGCCACGCTTTTCAATAACAACGTGTTTGCGGACCTTACGAAGGGTGAATTGCCTCCTGTTCTCGCGGAAAAAACGGAGGAGGGCATGTTAATTCACGACGAAGAGGCCTATGCACTCTTTATGCGTCACCGGCATCTGAACGAGGGTGCGGAAAACAACTTGGAGCTTTATTCCTGTAATTAACACCGTGGGGGGGGGGTCAGAGAAGAAGGAGGGAGAGGGGGGAATAATTTTTCTTTGATGTTGTGTACGAGTGTTTATTTGTCCTTGTTGTTGTTTTTTTTATTACTTCCTTTTCTTTCGGAAAACGCAGCGACACGAAATGCGAGGGGAAAAAAAACGAAAGTTGACGCGTGCTGGGCGGATACGAAGGGAGGAGGGGCCAAAAGCGGCAGCGTTTCCACGTCGAAGGGGGCACGCGGGCAACCGAAAGGGGGCATCAAGAGAGGGAGGAAAACAGTGGAAAGGAAGGAAGGAAATCATGTAAATTTATTTACTCTCGTCTATTTCTACACCACTTTTTTTATTTATTTATTTATTGTTTCTTTGTTTGTGTGTTTGTGTGTGTGCCGGACCCAAACGTCGTGAGGCGCTAAAGACATGTGTTCTTTGCATGTGTTTTGCCCTACTGTGATGTTTCACCTTACATGTATGTATCCATATTTTTATGATTATGTGGGCTTTTTTGTGTCCGTGTGAAAATTGAATTTGGTTGGTGAATATGAATCGCGGACGATGCGTGCCACTTCATGTAATGAGGGAGTGAGAACGTGGCGTTGGAAATTCTGCATTGCTGTGAATAGTTAAAAGAGAAAAAAAAAAAAAAAATACCGCATGCTAACACAGATATGCGTAATGATCAACTTGTCCATATTTATATGGCTGCATGATAAATACATTGTTTTTCCTCTTTTTAAGGCTAATATAAAGTATTACCTTGTTTGTTTGTTTTTAAATGACATTTTATACAAAAAAAAAAAAAAAAAAAAGCGTGGGAGAGAGAGAGAGGCTTTGGATATATAAATATATACATACCTTGGCTTCTTCATTGTGAATTTATTTTTATTTTCAAATATACCGCGTTGGAAGGTAGCGAGAGCGCCGTTTGTGTTTGTGTTTTTGTTTTTCCTGATTTCCCACCCTATCCTCCGGTGCTGCCCTTCACGAGGGGGATTCCGACGGCTGCGTGGCTCTTTTGAGGGTTGCCGCTTTCTGAGCCTCCAACGATCTCTGTGTTTACGGTATATGTTTTTTTGAATGTGTTTGTTGGCTGGCGTGTGTGTGTCTGGGTGTGGGAGAAATCCTCTATGAACTGTGTGGAGTGCTGGGTGCACTGAATAAACTCTTTCTCTTGTTGCACCTTGTCCTTGTAGGAAGAAGGCGCCAGGGCCTCATACAAGCGTATATTCACTGTCTTTTTTTTTGTTTCTGTTTTTGTTTTTCTTTTTTCTTCTCTTTATCCCCGCTGACATGTACGTGCAAAGGGAGAGAGTGCGTGGCAATTGGCGCACGTTTTTAGGTTGCACGTGCAGCTAAGAAATCAACCAGCACGACTGTGTTTATCTCTTAGCTGCCAGAAGGAAAAACAACAAGGGAAAGAAAAAAATAGGGGGTGCAATTGCCGCGTGTGTGTGTGTGTGTTGGTGCGGGAAACACCAAAACACACGAAGGAAGAAAATCGAGGAAACAAAAGGGCGACAAGAATAGCGTTACACAAAAGGGTTGTATACATATAATACATATATATATTTTTCTCTCTTGCCTGCAATATACATATATTTCACCCGCAGCCTGAGTAGAGGTGAGGGGGGTCGAGGCAATATACGCACCTATATATATATATATACATATATATATTCACGGGCATCATACGTGGGGCGAGAAGGCGCTCATAAAGTCGTTAAGCATATTTGCCGTCAAAGTCTCAAGCGGATTAAAAGAGTACTCCCACTTTCTTTTTTTTTTTTTTTTTTCTCCAAAGTTTTTTTCCTTTCCTTTTTGCTATTGTTTGTTTGTATTCTTGAGGTTACTTGTGGCCCCTGCCCACTCCCCCTACTTATAACTGACGAAAGTGAAGGGGCGGTCAACGAGGCGAAATTAAACGGAAAAAAAAAGGGTGGGGAGATATTTGTGATGTTCTCCTCGCGGTTTTTCTTGGCGCCTATTCGCCTGGTGGAGTGCCCTCGCGACGCAATGCAGGGACTTTCTCACTTTATTCCGACGGCGCAAAAAATTCTCTATTTGAATGCTCTCTTAAAGTGTGGTTTTTATTCAATTGATTGTGCCTCGTTCGTTTCCCCGCGGGCCGTGCCGCAGATGCGAGACAGTGCGGAGGTGCTGGCTGGCTGCAATCATGCACTTCTAACTGGTGAGGACGCCCCGAAACTCTCAGTTGTGGTTGCATCCCACTCAGGGCTTAAGCGCGCGCTTGAAACACCCATTGTAAGCACCATTGGATTCCCACTTTCCTGCTCCGAACGATTTCAACAACTTAACACAAAAAAGAGCATTGCGGAGGCCCTTAACGAACTCACGGAAA